ACCAACTCTTCATACAAAGAACTTTTCTTGAGCTAAGACTCTGCCTCTGAAGGGGTTAGGTGGAAAAATGGTTTCAAAATGGCACGTTTTAATGTACAGTTTTTACTGCAGGCTAAAGCAGTGTCTCTTGTTACACTTAGATTCCTTCTGATAAGTATAATGTACAACAGTAAAAGTTTGTTTTTAAAAAAAGTAAGTGGTATTACATAGATTTTCAATATATATGTGTGTGTGTGTGTGTGTGTGTGTGTGTGTGTATCACTTGTAAGTCTTAGAGTAACAATTAGTAGCATATACCTAGCTTTTGGGGCTTCCCAGTGGCACTAGTGGTAAAAGAACCCTCCTGCCAATGCAGGAGACTTAAGAGATGTGGGTTCCATCCCTGGGTCAGGAAGATCTCCTGGAGGAGGGCATGGCAACCCACTCCAGTGTTTTTGCCTGGAGAATCCCCATGGACAGAGGAGCCTGTTGGGCTACAATCCACAGGGTCACGCAGAGTCAAACATGACTGAAGCGACTTAGCACGCACACACGCATCTAGCTTTTAATAGTTTGCCCAGCACTTCCACTTTCCTATTTTATGCTGTCTTTTAAAAAGAAGTTCTGTGAAATAGATGGCATTATTCTCTATATTTGATCCATGGAAACCAATACCAGCAAGCACCGAGGGACTCTCTTATATATATTTGTAATCTAGAGGGGAGAAAGCCAGATGTTCAAGTTCTGAACTCTTTCCTAATTATTTGGATGCCAAATCCTATGCCTCTTCTACTGCAGTAATCAAGAAATAAGAGGTTTATAGCATGCTCCACAAAAAATGATCAAATATTTCTACTTTTCAAATGGTTCCTCTGTATCATTTTTCTAGAATTCAAATATATGTGTTAATATATGATATTCATTTTTCTCTTTCTGACTTATTTCATTCTACATGACAGTCTCTAAGGTCCATCCGTGTCTCTGCAAATGGCACAATTTCATTCCTTTTCATAACTGAACAGATAACTAGTGACAACCTACTGTATAGCCCGGGGAACTTGTTCAGTGTTCTGTGGTAACCTAAATGGGAAGGAAATCCAAAGAAGAGGAGATAATGTATATACATATGGCTGATTGACTTTGCTGTGTAGCAGATACTAACATAATATCATAAAGCAGCTATACTACAATAAATTTTTAAAAAATGATCAAACAACAGAACATGTTTAGACCAGGGTAGCTCGATCTTGGCTCTAGTGATATTTGGGGGCAGATAACTCTTTGTCGTAGGGAATTGTCTCTGCAGTATAGGATGTTGGGCAGGATTTCTGGGGTTTGCTCCCTGGATATCAATAGCACCTTCCAGTTGTAACAACCTAAATTGTCTTCTGACCTTGTCATATGTCCCCTGGGGACACAGTTTTAAATGTATTTATTTTTTAGACTTTTAGACTTTATTTCAAGACAGCAATTACAGTAGGCATCATTGTTATATGATTATATCTATTTGAAAGCAGATGGCCAGAGTTTTATTTCTGCTCCACCTCTTAAGTTTATGAACATCTCTAAGTCTATTAACTTCCTCCTCCATGAAATGAAAGGAAACTGCATAAGGCTAGTTCAGGATTAAAGCATGACACGACGTAAACAGGGAACCTTGGCACTGACTTTTAGTCCACACTCACAGTGTTACTTATGATGTCTGTTCTATAAGCCTGAACATACCCAGATTTCCTTAGATTTCTTTGTCACAATACCGGCCACAGACCAGGCCCAGGTGTTTTGTATTGAAGTGCAAAGCTCTTCGTGATCTCACACTAATCTTGCTTTCCAGCTGCATTTCCACCGCCCCGTTCCTGGGTAACCCCCTTCCTGCAGCCTCCTGTCTCACAGCCATCCTGACTGAATGCACACCTTCCCTGAATCTGTCAGCTTTCTATGACCCTGCGTCTTTCCTCCTGCTATTCTTTTGCTGATTTTGTTTTTACCAGAACTCTTTCGTCTTATGAGCATTGCTTGTCCATAAGGATTAAAATCTCACGTGAGGGATAACCAGCAAGGAGCAAGTATAGCACAGGGAACTATATTCAGTATTTTGTAATAACCTATAAGTGAAAAGAATCTGAAAAAGAATATATATATTATATATCACTTTGCTGTACACTTGAAAATAACAAAACACTGTAAATAAACTATACTTCAGTTGAAAAAAAAAAAAAGACCTTGTATAAAGAATCCATGCCTTGTACTGAATTCTGGTCCCAAATAAGACAGACATTTTATTTTGTCCAGCTCTTCCCTAGAGTACATCTCCATGAGAAACACAAAATCTGAGTAGAATCTCTTTTAAGTGAAACAAAACCATTCCAGAAAAAGAGACTTGTATAACTCTTGAAATTTTCCTTCTTCTGTTGATTCTGGGCTCTGTGTGTATGTATGTAGTCTGGTATGCATCTGTGTGTGTATGCATTGACACAAGCAAGCCAAGTGCCCTAAGACTGTTCCTCCTGAGCTCTTGTTCAAAGACTTCCTCATCTATGCCATAGAAGCATAATAGAGCAATTCTCATCCGGTTAGTAAAATAGACTGAAATGAATCATTTACTAATCATTTTCCAATAGCATGGGCTTACCTGAATTCTTATTAGTCATACAGTGTATTCACATGACATTTCTAATTTTAATTTATAGGTGTTCTGTAGATTTTGATTTAACTTGAACAAAGGATATAATTTTAAAAGGCTGCTTTATAAGAAAAAAGACTGTGCTATCTGGATGTTGCACGTTGAGGTGGTTTAGAATCATGCAGTGAAAGAAAATTCAATGAAAAAGAAAAACAAGCTTCCTGTGTTTTCATCCATAATTGTTTTATTACTGTGATCGCCTAGCCTAAGAAGATCCAATAGTTGGTCCATCATCAGCAACCATTTGAGTATGTTTTGTAGCAAAGGTGCTCCTGTCCTGTACACCCTTTTGAAAATGTGTGTCTGCCTAAGATTTTATGTAAATTTTTAGATACTTAATGCACATTAAGTTGAATGCCTTATCTTTCCAGTTGGCTCAGTTCTTTCGCGATCTCACACCAACCAGTCCTATAAGAACTGAGCCAATTCAAAAGGAATCCTATTCCATATTGTCTTCGATAGCAGTAAGGAAGCACCAACATGCTTCAAGATTTACTTGACAACCTCTACCAGACGTGATAAAGAAAAGATAAAGAGAACAGGTTAGAATCTACAAGGAAACTTTTAACCTTTGTCTGCTCCATTTCTGTCCCATTTTTCATGCCTCCTCTTCTGAAATGACAGCACTGACCTGGCATCTATAGGATGTATGCTTTTGAGTTGTTTTCTGGGAGTCGAGTGGGTACTGCCAGCTGTCTCAAGTCTCTTCCAGCCTATCCTTCAGATAAATAGTAGCCTTTTGTGGTTCAAGGGGTCAGGTTTTCATCTGTGGCCTTATGGGTTGCTTTTTTATTTCTCTGTTAAAAATTGATTCACTGCTTCAGAAATGGAATCCTTACATCCAACCATGTCGGTGTCATGTTCTAACTCAAGGGTCCCCAACCTCCAGGATCTAATGTCTGATGATCTGAGTTGAAACTGATGTAATAATACAAATAAAGTGCACAATAAAGGTCAGCATTGGAGAAGGAAAGGGCACCCCACTCCAGCGTTCTTGCCTGGAGAATCCCCATGGACAGAGGAGCCTGTTGGGCTACAATCCACAGGGTCACGCAGAGTCAAACATGACTGAAGCGACTTAGCACGCACACACGCATCTAGCTTTTAATAGTTTGCCCAGCACTTCCACTTTCCTATTTTATGCTGTCTTTTAAAAAGAAGTTCTGTGAAATAGATGGCATTATTCTCTTTGGATGGCATCACTGACTCGATGGACATGAGTTTGAGTAAACTCCAGGAGTTGGTGATGGACAGGGAGGCCTGGCATGCTGCAATTCATGGGGTTGCAAAGAGTCGGACACGGCTGAGCAACTGAACTGAACAGAACTGAACATTTTAAATAAATAATTTCCTTTTATGAAAGCTTCTTGTTACTATACTTTTATCCTCAGAAAATTGTTTAAGGAATCTGTATGTTTTTAAAAGAAGAGCTTATGATAGTAGCAATATTAACCATAAATATAACAAATATGGCATAACTGGTATCATGACATTTTAGATTGGACTCATGCAGTTATATTTTCTCTTATCTGATAATTTAACTAAATGCTATACCTGCACAAGACTGTTGAAATAATATTTTGGGAAATAAATGTGATCTTGTAAATTATCTACTGAAGTTCAAATGAAAAATGTCTCTATTAATAAGATCGTGCCATTTTAAGTTCTTTCTTTTTAAGTCTTCATAAACATGGTAATGTCAGTGATACATTTAAGATTATATAAGTATATGTGCATGCATGCTTAGTTGTTTGTGTCAGACTCTTTAATAACCCCATGGACTGAAGCATGCTAGTCTCCTCTGTCCATGGAATTTTCCAGGCAAGGATATTTGAGTAGTTTGCCATTTCCTACTCCAGGGGATCTTCCTGACCCAGGGCTCGAACCTATGTCTCTTTCATCTCCTGCATTGATGGGCAGATTCTTTACCGTTGTACCACCTAGGAAGCCCCAGATGTGTATGTACATATATATACACTTACAAACCATTTGCTCAGGGAAATCTTTTCAAATCCTTTTTGAAGTCAGTGCATGTGTAAGAAATATAAGAGGATGAGATGGTTAGGTAGTATCACTGACTCTGTGGACATGAATGTGAGCAAACTCTGGGAGACAGTGGAGGAGAGAAGAGCCTGGCGTGCTGCAGACCTGGGGGAGGGGGATTCCAAATAGTTGGACACAACTTAGCAACTCAGCAACAACATATGTAAGAAAACCAGGGCAATCAGTTGTGAAATATTCACATGTAAACTCTCATAGGTGTTACACAAATGAGTTGACCACAGGCTACCAGTTGCAGGATTTCTCTCATGTTCTCCTGCTTTCCTTTTTTCAGAGAATTTGGATGGAGAGACCCGGAGCTACCTGAAGTGATACAGATGTTGCAACATCAGTTTCCTTCAGTCCAGTCTAATGCTGCAGCCTATTTACAGCACCTCTGTTTTGGAGACAACAAAATTAAAGCCGAGGTAAGCACTACTTGGAATCATGAATGACTGGTGTTGGATTCATCATCACTTAGGTGTTCAGAGTACTTTTGAATGGGGAAAAAAATTCAAAACTTAAGTTATGCTATCAAAACTTAGATCCACACTTATGACTGAAACATAGCACTTTGCATCTAAGTGTTTGGCATGCCTATATATACATTCTTCTTTTTTAATATTTGAATACTGAAGGAATAGAGGACCAAGGGTATACACTAATATCCACAGAGGTGAGAGTATCAAATGCTATACTTTTGATGTAATTTGCATTTTTCTTCCCAAACCCGTCTCTGGAGTCATCTCTGCTCCTAAATTCTAAAGAAGTACAAAGCATCTTCATGGTCTCCTCAAATTACATCAAGATTGCTAACATCAGTTTATGGTATCATCTGTCTTCCTGGAAAATTCCTTGATAAGAGGGAAATTTTAGGCAATAAACCAGCTTTGTGTTAATAACCAAACTTTCTGAACCATTTACAAATGTACTGGTAGATATAATACAGATATATGTGTTCCATTAAAGAATCTGTTCTCTGTGTTCATCATGTAAACAATTGTTAACATGCTCGAAATTTTTGGAATACTTCAAAGTGCACAAATTGTGGTATGTGATATTTCTGGAAAATCACAGTGGTCAGCACAGCCAACTCTGATTTTTTTTTTAGACAAGGGACAAATATTTGCATATGAGCAGCTGAGTAATCAAATTTTTAAAAAAGATTTTTTAAACTGTTCAGAGTCATCTCCATAGCATGTAAGGAATTTGGAAGATGAGTCTAAATCAGTTTAAGGGTGGAAAGCAGAGGTTTGAAGACATAATTGTAATTTATTATAGATTGTGCTTGCTTGCCCTGGGATGTGTATAGACTAGCAGCTTTTCATCTTTTCTTTTCCTGTTTCTCTTCCGGGACTGCAAAGGGCTTGACCCATGCTTTTTCATATCAGAAAAATCCTATTTCTTTGTGGAATGAATATAAGGCAGTGATTCTCAACCAGGTGTAATTTTGCTTCCTAAGGGACACGTCACAACATCTGGAACCATCTTTGGTTGTCAGAAATGAAAAAAATTTGTGATGTGCCATTAGCATTTAGTGGGTGGCAGTCAGGTGTTACTCAACTCAGGCTGGGCTGCTCACCTCTGAAAACTCAGTACTCGAGAGACAAGTGTTGGCAGGAAAGAAAAGGTTGCTTTATTCAGGAGACTGGCAACCTGGGAGAAGGTGGACTCGTGTCCAAAAACCAACTCCCAACTGCTGACCAGGAAGCAAGAGCTTTAAAGGGGGATTTCCAGGGTCACAGGTTGGGGAGAGGGGGTTACATGCAGAAACAGCACAGTCCGCTCTGACAGTCATCGTGACATCGGTCATGCAGTGATCTGATCAGCATCATCTTGATTATTTTAAGTACAGTCATCTTCAGTTCCAGGGTCGGTTTGTTCCTGTTTCCTTGAGGTCAGTTCCTGGACTTGTGTAAGATGGAGCAACTTGTGTCATGGCTACAGTCTGGTCGTCATATAGTCAACTCCTTCCACCTGCCTGGGGTTTTAGTATATGCAAAACAGCTCAGAGGATGTGACTCAGAATATTATGTATAGCTCTTAAGGAGGAACTAAAGGTCCTTGACTATGTTAAATGGCTAAACTATTATTATTTTGTCTCACTTGGCTGTTTTCCTTTCTGCATTTTCTCACTTCTCTGATTAAATTTATTCTTTGGCTAAAGTTTCTCTACAAAAAAGCAGTGGAAAAAAATGTAGGATCTGTCCCCAACAGGCACCATATGGTTCTGTTCAGTTACAAAGGATTCTGCAAAACATTCTGTAATGGAAGGGCAGCCTGGACAAAGAATTATCCAGTACCAAATATCGGTAGTGCCAAAGCTGAGATAAAAGAAATTATTGTTCATCTAAGATAGATTTTAAATGTCAAAAAATACTATTAAAATGATCTAAGGATAAATTAAATTATGTGGCTCCTGTCCCAAGTGGCAGTTCTCCTAGTCATTCTCTGCCTTTAGTAGAAAACAAAATAACCATTTAAAATGGAGAGATTTCCAATTGAGTGATCACATGCCATCATTTTGCAAAGATTATAACTGTGAGGGTTTCTCTAGAGGCCATGAAAGAATCTCATCCCTTGATGGGCGTAAAGTGGATTCACAGATATTGTGGCAACCACAGGAGCAGGATGGACTCGTCCCCAAATTTGGTTCTGATGTCAAGACTGAGGACAGTGCACACACCCCATGAGGGTATGAAAAGGCCAGTTACTCACATAATGAGGCTTATGTAGCTGAGCATAGTGGCTTCCACACGGGACTGAGCTTGACTGGAGAGCTCAGGAAAGGATGGCTAGGGGATTAGGTGGTAGATATGGCCTGCCCTGGGATGGAGTTCTTACCTGGGGACAGGATGTCTATGGTTTGAACTTCCTACTGGTACCAAAGGAGGAGCCATCAGAGCTTTGTCATCAGCTTGCTCAGATGCAAGCAGAAGGGACAGAAATGTCAGAGGCCAAACATCAAACAAGGCCATCATGTGGTCCATGCAGACGCCGTTACCTGGGCAAGTTCAAAGTCATTACCTCTGTCTATGTGAGCCATGACCAGCCTTGAAATGTCTCCATAGCAGTGGTACCCAACATGGACTTGTGTGTGGTCACATCAGAAGCATCCCTGGGTTCTGTGGGAGACAAAACAGTGGTGTGAGGAGGGGTTGACCAGCACACTCACCAGTGTCAGAAAGATACATCGTCCAAAATCGCTTCCCTGCTCACCAACTGTGTCTCCTTGAACAGAACTGTCCACTCAAGCCTCCTTTCTTATCTTTAAAACAGAGATGCTGATCCCTCCCCTGTAGAGTCCTTATAGGGACTAAACGATTTAATGGATGCAGACTGCTAAGTGGTGATGTATTCATTCATATACATCTTTGGCCAGGAGCACAGTTAGACACTTAAGATACTGTTTTATCTTACATATGTATATATATCTGAGCTTTTCAGATGGTGTGATGGTGAAGAATCTGTCTGCCATGCAAGAGACACAAGAGATGGGGGTTTAATCCCTGGGTTGGTAAAATCCCCTGGAGGAGGGCATGCAAACCACCCTAGTATTCTTGCCTGGAAGAGTCCGTGGACAAAGGAGTCTGGAGGGCTACAGTCCATAGTCGCAAAGAGTAGGACACGACTAAGCGTGCACGCACATGTATCTGTAGGTTGTATGTACCTGTGGTCAGTTTTTAATTTTGCTGTAGGTGCCCTTGAGGTTGCCTGTATCACTTCTTACTGCCCGGAGATTCTCCTGACACCTGGTTCTTAGAGCTGTGGCTCAGGTGAAATTTATTCCTCTGCTCCACCTCCTAAAGACTGCAGACATGGCCAGGACCTCATGATAATGGTGCCTGGGGTACCTGGGAGACTGTGAGGACAAGGAAGGAAAGGGTGATGTAGCATACAGCCTGACAAAATGAGATCAGAGTTAGTAAAAATGAGCCAGAGATGCTGGGCAAATGCAGGAGGCCTAAGTAAAATGCAGACTGAGCCACATGGAGTTTCCCTTCATCTCTCCTTCAGTCACCCAGGGAGTACAAGTGCATGCTCATGAGTGCGTGCGCACACACACACACACACACACACACACACACTCAGGTGTGTACACATCTCAGGACTTTGCACACATCTAATTTGTTCTCTCATCCTAATTCAAGTCTAAACCATTAGTAGTGGTTCTCCCTTCATGACGGATGGCTGCCTGACATGTTTTCATATACAGGCATTGATTTTTGTAATTACCTGTTGTCCAAATACTAATCTTGCAGGCACCAGCCTTTCCAAATTTACTCAGTCCTCTGGTCTTTCTATTGCATTTTATTAAATTGATTTAGCCCTTCAGTCTACATTTCATTATTGGTATTGACTTTGCCCGCACAATGGATAGGCCATTGAGCAAAAGGCAGAATTAAATCTCCTGTATGTGGAGGGTCATAAATCATGCCTTTCTCATTCCTTATTACAGTGCTTTGTACAGTTTTCATTTAATGAAGCCAAGAAATTCAGCTTTGTTCATGATGATGCCAGATCTCATAGGTATAAAGTTGAGAATTCACTCCCGTAAATCAGCAGACAGAAGCACTGTCCCTAACTTTTCCTACTGATCCAGTGAACTTGGGTTTAAGGCAGACTGCTTGTTCCCTGACAGCAAGGAGGTGGAACTGAGGGGAGAAGAATGGGTGTGGTCAGTTCAGGAGCCACCAGTGACTGCGGGAGAGTCTGCAGTCCACTGGGTGCCCTGACCTGGGCCGGGACATTCAGTTAGGAAATGCTTTGAAAACCAGCACGTGTCCTAAAACTGGAATAGGAGGATATCATGTAAACAAGAGCTCAAAGTTAGACTGAGAAAAGATCAGAAGAGAAGCAGTTGGAAAAATGAAAGAGGGAGGCCTTCCCTGGTGGTCCCATGGCCAAGACCCCATGCTCCCAGTGCAAAAGACCTAGGTTTTATCCCTGGTCAGGAAACTAGATCCCACGTGCTGCAACTGAGATTCAGTGCAGCCACATAAATATTTTTTAAAAAGAATTAAATAGGGTGGGGCAAAGAGAAAGGGGAAGAAGAGGGTCCAGTTGTTGTAGCAAACACACCATATTGGGGCAGCTCATTTCCGTGGATGATGAGTGACTGATCTGTAGGAAGGTTGTCCTGCTTTAAAGGGAAAGAGGTGTGATGGATGTGGATGGTTGTCAGTTATGTTTGAACTATGTCTGCCATCCACACTGTCTCCTAAATTGTTGCAAACTTCATAATAAGTTGAGTTTTAGATAATGTAGATAGTTTTTAAGACATGAAAATCTGCTCATATGTGTATATAGTGTGTATATATGATAAGCATCTTTTGGGAGGTGCTTAAATGTTGATAATTATTTTACATCTTTTCAAAAATCTTTTTTTCATTCTTTTGGGAACCTTCATCAGTTAAGAATATTTAGA